AATGGTCCCCAAACAAGAAATTCTTTATCTCTCCCTCAACCCCATATATGTATGTGTATTTAGATATATCCTTTTCCTTTCACTCCCTCATTCATTTCCTCCATTTATGATATGGGTCCATGTTTCCTTATGGAAACCACACTCCCCTCCTTTTTACCATCCCCATTTCAACCATCATCTCAAATATCACTCTTTTCTATTTCCCGCTCTTCTTGTTTAGTGTTTAATTGTCAACCGAGCACGGTATATAGACATGTATCATCGACTAAAAGATCAAAGGTTTAACTAAAAAAGCTTAGTGCTAACTGGTAGTTAGAATAAAAACGGTCTCAGAAATGTCACCAAATCAACCGCCATTCGGGATGCCCTTAGCATCGAGAATATAGATATAGATATAAATGTAACATCAAACATTTTCTTCGAAGTGTTATAACTTAAAAGATTTTAGTTCAAATTCTTGTAATGTATTTTTTTTAGGTTTAAATCTCGTTCTAATACTTTGACTTTCAAATACGTTCTTTTTTGTTCATTTTTAATCGAATGTGATCCATCATGTGTACGAATGCTTAAAAAGCACTTGCGGTAGGTCAAGTATCAGATTTTTAAATAAGAATGTGTTAAATGGTTTGTGATTATGATTAAAATAGTTTTATAAGTATAGTTTAAGGATTAAAATTGAAAATTTAAAGTTGAGGATCCAAAAACGTTGCTTATTTTTTAAGTTCAACAACAATTTTGAAAGTGGAGGAAAACTATATTCAACTTTTGAGATAGTACTAAGACAAACTGAAACAAAACTTCATAATTTAAAAAAGTTGTAGGGACTAAAATAGAAATAAGTACAAAAATTGGAATAGTACAAAATCAGGGAGTTTAAACCTTTTTTTTTCCTCCTTCATTCAACATATTAACTGTCTTATTGCAGATCATAGGGAGGATCTATCCCTCACAAATCACACAGCGGTAAAAATAGGAGAAAGGATGAAAATTCTTACCACGTTGGATACATTAAGAAAAAGAAAGAAAAAGTACTGAAAAAATGTTTCTTCTTCCCACACAATAATGAGTGATTCTTTTTTATTATTGTACTTTTTGAAGAATTCAAATAATAATAGATTTCTTCACTGCTAAAAACCAACATAAATTATTAAAACCTAACACCTCAAGTTTTTCGTCCCTCGAGACACTGCCAATAATCATCACATATACAATAATTCAATGAAAATCATGAGTCAAAAGAAAAAATAAACAACAAAACCCAACCCAAGTTTTGATCCAACCCACGACGTACATCTTAATTCAATTGTTCAACTTGGTCATATTCTTCGAGATCATCCTCTTCCACGTCGCTAGAAATCCTAAAACTTATTCAGCTTTAGTCCCCACACAATGTGATAATTAACGTACTTAATTATCAATACTGACTTAATACAACGTTTTTAGATAAGTGGATCCCACTAAAACTTGTTAGCCACTAAAAATACACAACACCACACGGTAAAAAATTCCTAATCTCCCACTAAATTTTTGACCGACAAGACAAGATATATGGAAACACAAGAATTTTCTGCTATCTCAAACTAGTTAGCAGCGAAGTATTGTTGTTCGGTATAATATCTCTCAGACTTCTCTCTGGTCACTCTCCATCTCCCTCGGTCGTGGCAGACGACATGTAGCTGATGGCGAGGGAGGTCTCCTCGG